CTTTCCATCAACTAAAATTGAATTGACTCAAGTGAGCTAATTTATTTTGATTGGAATATTTAGGTTGGTACCATATAGCCTCACAATTCATACTTTTATTCTCCATGATTTTTTTAAGAGGGGTGAGGTCAGATATCATAGTGCATGCCATATTAAATAACAATATATTAACATGCCCTGTTCACTTCACCTTAAAAAAATAATATATAGTAAAAATAATTTCAGTTCAGTAAAATTAATTTCAGTTCATTACAAATAATTTCAGTTCAGTAAAAATCAGTAAACTAATAGAAGAAATATAATAGAAAATCGATAAAAATAATTTAAGTTCAGCAAAAATAATTTTAAGTTCAGCAAAAATAATTTTTGTTCAGTAAAAATAATTTCAGTTCAGCAAAAATAAGGTGAAGTGAACGGGGCTTAAATGATATGACCTTAAAATGAAAATTGTAAACACTTATATAAAAATGACTATTATTTATATTAACCTAACATATTATATAGATGATAATACAAAAAAATATTGTATCTTATTTTATTATTTGAATATTATGATTTGATTTTACATGTTAAGTATATTTTATTTTTGCCGTTTTTTATACGAAATATGTGACAATATTATGTTTGACTAATTTATGTAAATCATTATTTCTATAGAGGGGTGTATCATGTTATCATAATATTTATAGACTTTACAAATAAGATATGAAATTGCATTTTACTAATTAAGGTATAAGTAATTAAGGAAGTATATATATACACGATATCACGATGTTACCATAATATTACTAATAGAATTAAGGATGTAAAATTTTAACAGAATTAAGAAATATGTAACTATAAGAAGTGGCATAGTAGTTTACTAATTACGGAAGTATATTTATGCACGGGTGCTATGCTACCATAATATTACTAACAAAATCATGCTCTGACCATTTACCATCATTATCACTATGCTAGACTTTACTAATTAAATGTGATATTACATTTTTTTTTTACATAATATTTTATGTAGTCATTTAGAAAAACATACTTAATTAGAATATTCTTGTTTTAATATGGAAGCATAAACGTTAAAAAAATCAAAAAAAAATATAAGATAGCGAATCATATAGTGACATTTGTGAGGCTCGCATTGACGCGCTTCTCTTTTAGTATAGTATATAGATTCTGAGCTATAACGAAAAAAGATATGAAAGAAATACAAAACTCTATCCAAAACTGGCACCCTTCCACTATTTCGGCCATATGTTTTTATCTAAAAAAGATTTTAATCTGATTGCAATTGGGTTGGAAATTACACTTCAAGAGATTTCCAATGACATATTATGACTTATTTGGACTTATAGATCAAAAAGATATGATAAAAATAAAATCCGCAAAAAATTGTCCCTGCGCCAGACGACAGTGTCTGTCACCAAACAACAAAACAATTTTATTCCGATTTGAATTCTTACTCTTTTCTATCGGTTTTTGGACTATTTTCTTATAAATAGGGTCCTAGACCTCCGTTTTCAAATCAACCAGAATTCTCTAATTCTCTCTCTTCTCTCTCTTAAGCAATAGCTTATTCTTTCTCTCTCTAGCTTTCTAAACTAGCTTTTTCATAAACACCATTCCGCATACATTATTTCTAGACACACCTAGCCAAGTTCGAAGTTGTCTTCGCCCTAGAGGTGAAAGGTTGATAATTTCTGAGGGTTTGATCCCAAATTCTATTTCAATTATTTAAATTAATTGTTTGATTTATTATTTTCCTTGAAGTTACTAACGTGTGTATTTTGTTATTAGAAAGAGATACGAGGCATCCAAGTAATTTAATTGATTAATATTTTGATATAGAAATTATGCATTAATTATAATTATTTTGATTCCTAGTATCATGTTAGGATGTTTTATTGCAACCTAGTATCATGTTTAGGGTAATAACTAAAATTTCTAATATCATATATGTTTATATGATGCTTCCTATTTCTTTCTAATATCATGTTAGTATCATGTTAGGGTTAAAGATTTAATCTTTATAGTTTAGTGACATGTTAGGATTTGTTACTAATCTAGCTTGTTAGTATCATGCCTAGGATCTTGCTAATATTATTATGATGATTGTTATTATGTTTCTTGTTATATTATTTTTATTGCTTGATCACGCTTTTTATGCATGTTTAAAAGGAATTTGTACTTGTAATCATGATTAATAAGATAATTAATCATCTTGTTTAGGTTAATAAGATTATAATTCAAGTGATCGCCAATAATAGGTTTGTTTGTGCATTTATATTCAACCAACATAGATTAAACAGGTTTAGGGTTAATCTATGGATTGTATGTTAGTCAAAAAGCGCACATGAATACGAGAAGAATAAAGTAGAGCCTATTATTAGGGAAGGTTCAATCTCTTTTAGGTTGAATTTGTACCTTCATCCCCGAATATCCAGTCATGGTTCCAGACCACTATAGAGTTAGCGATCTCATGGATCGTGAAGGGGTGTAACCTTCACCCTGTGAACGGTTTACAAGTTCCTAAAACTTCTTGGCGACTCTTTTACTCTAGCTTCCTTCCCTTTGGACGCCACCATGCTTAAGTGTACGATCACAGCGGGGCTCAAGTGTGGGATGCTTGAAATATTCCCTACGATTACCTTGATAGAGAAGGTACGAGAGCCGCTTGGAATATCCGGGACGTCTGCTTAACAGGCGTACTGGGTGCCGAGCACCGGATGCTATCATAGATGAGGACAGAGGCTCTTAAGTCAAAGATCCAAAGATTCTCTCTAAAGATTCACGCAAATGTGTGAACATAATGTGGGGTCAACCACTATTTATAAAAAGGGTGAAAATTTTAGGGTAAAAACCCTAAATTCTACCCATGGTAAACGGTAATATCCTAGACCAATGCCTCGCTGACACCTGTCATAGGTGCCACGTGGCATGCTACGTCACCCCTGTGAGGGGCAAATGATTTGGGTATTCTACCTCGCCACATGGCATAATGAGAGCTCACCACGTGTCACTTGAGAAGGCCTCCAAATGGACCTCTCAAGGACCGCCATGTGTCAAGCAGATAGATATACCCTCAGGAATTGGCGTCCTTCAAGGCCTAATTCCCGAGGTAGGCGCAAAACGACGCAGCCCGAATCCCTAGGTCATCACACCCTAGGGCAGGGCACACTTTCCTAGGATCCTATAAATAGGGAGATTCCCCCATGTTTGGGAGCATGTCCTAATCATTACATCATTTATTACTCTTGAAGACCACCTAATCTTGGAATCCAAGAAGATATTTACTTTCTGCAAGTTTTTACTCCGAACCCGTACTAACTTAACCGTCGGAGGCGGACCTCCGAACATTCGGAGCTCTGTTGTTTTGCAGGTACAAGCGGCTTCATTGGATCCAATCTTCGAGTTGTAACTCTCCCAAGGGACACAAAAGCACCTGAAAACAAATAGTGTGAGGAAAATTATATCTTTAAAATGTTTGTTACCTATATGCCCTTACTATATGATGTTATTTGCCTTTTAGTTTTTAATGATTCAACTCTTATAAATAGTATTTGGACAATTCTACCTTCTAAATGTTTATTTACTAATTGATCTTCGTTGATGTTAATTGTCTCTTTTTTTTTTTTTTTTTTTGAACTCATAAGAATATTGTATGGACATTTATAACCCTAGAAATATTAATTTACATATTTTCCCTTATTAATGTTGTTAACAACTAAAAGGGCTCTCCAGACATGGCTGCCTATGCCATACGCATGGCCACCCTAGTTTTATCAAAATAATAGTATTAGACTTTTATTGGATATTATGAGTTATTTGTTAGCAACTTTACAAATCTTTGTTAGCCATGTCATCCGAATATCCATATAACTCATGATAATAGTGTTTTTTCATATATAAAAATAATCTTACAAGTATTTGTTATCTTTTAAGTTAAATTATCAATAAATAATACTTGAATAGGCTTATTCATATTTCTATTACCCGTTGGGAGAAAAAAGTTCTACAAATATTTTTCTTGTACTAGTGGTCTATTATCCAAATTTCCCTTCGTATTCCCGTGGTATATTCATATATAGTACTGTATATTTTTTCACAAGCATAATACAAGAAATTATCACACTACATTCATATACAACCAACAACATCTATTGAATATATGCACAAATAAATAGATATCTATATAAGTTACACTTCAGGTCTTCAGTTCCAACCAATCATGTAATGCATTCTTAAAATTAATTATGGCGTAACACATACAGATGTATATAATTTATTTTGAAAATATAAGCATTAACTTTAAGTAAGGAAATGGTTATAGAATAGATAAATATTTTTCACGTAAATTTCATTAATCATCAAAGTCAATTTTATACTATTTTAAATTTTTTATAGCATATTTAATTATTATAGTGCAAGATTATTTGAATAATTTTTGGTAGAAACATATTTTAGTTTTTTGTTTGGAGGAAATTATCATTATTAGATTTCTAAATTTTTCACAATTTGGAAATTTACATTAGTAGGAAATACACATTATTAGAATCAATTATAAACAATAAAATATATATATATATATATATATATATATGAGAATAATTTACATATTAGGAAAAAAAATCATCTAACATAAGTTGACATAAATAAGTTCATTAATTTCTAAATAATTTGAGATCAATCAAAATAAATAAATAAATAAATAAAAAATATTAGAATCAATCACTAGGAAAAAAACCACTTAGCCACCGGTTCAAAACCCCCTAAGCCACCGGTCATTTGGGGGGTGGCAATAACCCCAAGAAAGGCCACCGGTTCAAAACCGGTGGCAAAAATGATTATTGCCACCGGTTAACCGGTGGCAAAAACCCATTCCCGCTTTTTTTAAAGGGGTTTTTGGCACCGGTTCTGTTCAAAACCGGTGGCAAAAATGGCCCAAAAAAATAAAAAAAAATATTTTTTTTTTTTGCTTTTTTTCACATAAAATGATATATAAACACTAACATATATATATACTTACATATTTTCATTAAAAAAGGCTATAATATTACAATTTTGGTCCAAAAAACTTAAAAAAAATACTAGTCACTGTTAAATACAAGCAAAGTCACACCAATGAAACAGCCTTGGCGAGGCAGCAGCTGCAGCAGCCTTACGAGGCAGCAGCAACCTTGCGTATAGATAAAATCTTCCAATAGTCTTCGTATATTTTCTCTTTTGTCACCTCCTCTGACATTGATCTAGAATGCTCCACCACTCCAATCAAGCGATGAATGCAATTGTCCCTCTTTGTGGACCTGCAAGCTTGTTCAAGCAACAGATCTTAATATATACTTCGTATACAGTCCTTACTACACCACACTCACAATAAAGGTAGCATGATACAGAATGCATGCATATTGCAATAAACACAGCTAAGTAGAATTTACACACACAAACTGAAATTTCACTCTCTACATTCATATGGTTCACCCCACCCTCCTTTTCTTGTCCTAGATTGGGAAACTCCATTATTATGAACTTACATGACTGTCTAGTCAACACAAAAACCAAAAAAAAAAAGGAAAGGGAATAAAAAGCTGGCACCTCAAATTCAAACATGCTCATGAGGGAGTGCTCTATCTCTTTTAAAGTGCCAAGTATTTGTAGCACATAATTAAACATACGAAGTATATATATATCATAATATCAAAACCAGGCAGCAAGGGCAGTAAAAGCAAGTAGCTTAATTAGCAATTAACACAAGTGCACCAAGAGAAATGCATATCATACTTAAGGATCCCTTCTTTCACCAAAACTCAAAATTAAGAAACATAAGACACATCGGCACCACATAGGCACATCACATCAGCATTGTATTTAGAAATAATCAAATCTCACAATCACACCACATAGGCATATCGCAGCAGCATCAATAATAATGCATAATAACAAAGAATCAATCACAACAGCAGAATACAAAAATATCATCATCAAATGTCAAAATTATCAGAAAACTAATTTGATTTTGACCCCTTACAATTAGCACCAGAATATTTCCAATAAAAAGCAAATTCAACCATATATAACCAATCAAATACTCGAAGTAAGGCAAAATAAACATGATCCAGATCATATTAAAAAGCAACAATCTTTAAGCCTAAAATAAAACAAAACCAGCTAAATTCGACAGAATATGTAACACCCAAATCCTTTCATCCACAAATTTTATAATCAAAACACCAAAAACTTGCATCAAGATATAGAATACGAAAAAAAAAAAGCAGGATTAATTGTGAAATTTCAATTAATAGAACCTACAAAAATCAAAGATAGAAATTTAATAGCAACTAAAACAATCAAAGATACAAATTTAATAACATGCTACAACGACACATGCTAATGAAATCTACTTTTTTGTAGAATGATTGAAAAGCTACAATCATGAAGCACCGCGCACCAAAACCACTGATCAAACAAGCAATCGCAAACACCTAAATATACAGAACTATAAACCTGACACATTGAATGGCAGGAGTACATGAATGGGAAGAGAAGAAAATATCTATATCCTCAAGACCAAACACACAAAAAAACACCACAACCCGAATGAACTCAAGTCGGTTGCAGGGGACCAAGTCGATCAACAGCATAATTTCAGTCCCAAACAGCAGCTATGCTTGCAAACTCAAACAAAAAGTTTTAAAATCCCATATTTCTAAAACATAGAATATAATGAGAATTCATCAAATCGTGAATTATGGAGAAAAATAACAAGAAAATACTTTCCATATTAAGCATTTCATTACCTAACACTCCAACTTTATCGTCTCCTAAAATCGACTCCTAATTCATCCAAATATCAATTAATAGCAACTAAAACAATCAAAGATACAAAATTTAATAATAAGCTCTGGACAAATTTTCCCACATAAATTATATCAACAAATTGACAAAACAACATCAAATATCGAGATTTTTCATCCAAATATCATAATAATAACAACTTAAACAATCAAAGAGGCAACAATCAATAATTATAAAGGTTCAAACTGATTAATTTCACGAAATAAATCCATACAAAACCACCAATATGACACATATACAGCCACTAAGGTACCTTCAGAAGTGATATTAAATCTGGTGATCGCTAAATGAAGCAAGCATAAAATCCAAGTCTTTTTCTGACCTGTGTGAAAAGTATACTTGTCAATAATTGATACTTCCCTAAGCAAGATACGGAGTATCAGAGCAACAAACAAAAAGCCTAAGAAATTATCAAACACATGAAATTAGAAACTGCAAAATCATTATTCAAAAAAAAAAAAAAAAAAAGAAACTGGAAGATCTATTTGTATACTCTAAGCATACATCTAGGCATATATGTTAACTTTTGATTTTAAAAATCTATTTCAATGGACTTAACTTCTCTAAATTTACCTATCATTAACTTTGTTCTAAAATATGATTGAAATCATCTCAAAGGTAGTCAAGAAAGGTCTAATTTAGCCATGTCTAAGATATATACAAAGAAAAGGAAATGTGACCAAATCTCAGGAACTTCAACATAAGATAAGTAAATTATTAATCAAAATTCAAAGAGGTCAAGGATATGAATTTTGTAAAAGTAATGAAAAACATTAGGATCTACAAGCTGAGGGTAAAATAATTAAAAATAAAATATGCATAATGCATAAGATAAATTCTGTATATCAGATCATTAGGATTTATGCATTAAAAGGGCAGAAGACAGGTGTGCACTTTCAAAGAGATTAGATATTGAAAGTAACTAGCAACTCCATCCATGCACAAACAACTAAACAAAAGGCAAAAGAAATTTCATGATTTCTTATGTAAAAAGCAGGAAGGCTGGAAGGGACAGCCACTACACATCTTTAAATAGCCAATAAACAAGGAGACCTGGTGCTAGACATGCAGACTCAATTTTTCAAAGCAGAACTAAACATGTTCACTGCACATTATGAGCAATAAAGATTCAAGAGACATCACAGGGCCCAAATTGACAGAACGTTGAAAGAGACTCATAACACATTTGAGCACTTCATTCCATATACTGCTAATGTACAAGTGCAATATTCATCAGTTTGAAAAAAATTCAAGTAGAAGCCAAACCTCCACCTCCCACCCTCTCACTCTATATATAGCTCCCGAAAAAAAGTAGCTAACGACAACAACTATTAATATATTATCTAATTCGAGCTGCAAAATCATCATTACAACCAAAACAATAAAACATTGCATCTTTTCGAGATCTTTTTCAAATCCAAGTAGCAAAATCATCATCATTATTTCAAACAAAACAACCCCCTTAGACCTTGCATCAGATTTAGGATTTCAAACAAAACAAAGCCTCATTAAGAGACAACAGAGGAACATTAACAGCAGATTTAAAATTCAGAACAGAATCCTTAGCTTGGTAACATCTGAGTGAATTCAACATATCTTCATACAACCCCCTTAGACATTACTATTTATTCCTTGAGACGTTTACCCATTTTTCAGCATAAGGGTTGGCACTAATGTTGACATCAACACCACCTTTAACAGTCCACTGCAAGTAGATAAACACATAATACCACATCAATTAGTTGCAAGCCCAGAAAACCATAATTCACAAACTTGCAAGAAATGAAAAGATTTGTACAGATTCATACCTTTCCATCTACGTCCCAAAGGCATCCATTGAAGAGTTCCTTGTAGGGGTATGAGTCAGACAAAAGCTCAACACCTAATAATTTCGAGTTTCGGATGAATCCATTAGATAACAATCAAACGAATACTATACACACAAAATATTGACAGATCTCACGAGCAAAAAACAGTACTTCAAAATTAAATTGTTCGACCAAAATTGAGTTCCTACATATCTATTTCTTAAGAATTCAGTGATTTATAGACAAACCAAAATTCAACATTGATCACAAATATAAATCAAATCTCACGATAAGAAACCTATATAAATATACATGATCAAAGACAAAATCGATAAGCCCCATATCAAGTTCAATTTTTTTCTGTAATTAGGGTCAGATTATCACGAAAATGCAGAAAAATTATTAAGAAACATCCTTTACCTCATCGTCATCAAACTCATTACCATACCCAACCTTCACATGGCCTCAATACCCGAGTTAAATCCCGTACCCAGGTTCGCTCCACTGCACATCAGTAATTTGAAAGCACAAAAACACAGATCTATATGGTGTTAAGAAATCTGACAATGAAATGTTGTCAAAATTCAGTAATTGCGAAGCTGCATGTAATTGAGAAAGGAATTGAACAATTTCTATAGTAATATTGAATTAAATCGAAATCCATAAAACCCTTGGTTTCCGAAAACATGAAATTGTAAGTTTGACAAAAATGAAAACTCAAAAAACACGAAATAATGAAATTATTTACAGAGAAAAGAAGAAAAACGCACGAACCTTCAGGGAAAATCATTTCGCGAGGGGGAAACGACGAGAGGTGGGTTTGTATCAGCTCCTAGCGCCACTGCCGCCGTTGCTAGGACATGAATAGAGGGAAGCGGGAGGAATGGACGACGGCACGGTGGAGAGAGGAAAGAGAGAGAGAATAGGGAGATCTAGTTGAGGAGAGAGGAGGAAGGAGAGAGAGAGAGAACGCGAGATAGAGGAAAGAGAAAGAGCTGAGAACGCGGAAAGAGAAAGAAAATAGAGGGGCGAATTTGTTTTTTATTATTGCCACGGGTTTTGAACCGGTGGCCTTAAAAACATATGCCACCGGTTCGGTTTGAACCGCACAAAAATACTTCCTCTGTTTCTATTTATTTAACGCGTTTAATTTAGGCACATATATTAAGGAGAGGAGAGAGTAAGAGACAATGTCAAGTTATTCTACATATAATAAAGTATTACTCCGTATATAAATTAGACAAGCGTGATATTTGTCATCCTCACATTAATTTGCTTGTTTTTTGGTATATACTAGGTATTTTGCCCCGTACAATGCACAGTTTTTATAATAATAATATTTTGGAAATTTTGTGTAGAAGTACCCTAAAGATAGAGTCATTTGTGAACAACTACCCATTTTTTTAATTTGTTTAGAACTACCCGCAAGTTTGAAAAAGTTTTGGTAGCACTACCCACTAACGTTTTTCGTCCCATTAAAACGTTATTTTGGCCCAATTTTATACTTTTTTCAAATACAATGGTCAATGAATGCTGAAATAAGCAAAAACCCCAATTTAATTAAACTCTCAAACCTTTGAAATTAAAATCCCCAAATAATACTACACTCATGAACCCTAAAATAAATTATGATTAAAACCTTAGTGAGGTTAATTAAGGTAAATTAAAACCTTTATACAAATTGGGAGAACTAATTGGATGACAAAAGTGAAAAAAAGTAAGCTCCGATAACGTCTTAATTGGACGAAAAATGTTAAAGGGTAGTGATTAGGGGATTTTTATCCACCAATCACCGTCTGACAAGTGGACCAACCAGGTTCCGCCACGTGTCCTTCACGAAGGCCAATAGGAGCCTGCCACGTGTCAATCACATATACGTCCTCTACGGACCAATCGAGGCACGCCACGTGTCCACCCATGCCAAATGGGAAAACCGGCCAACAAGGCCCAATCCTGTCTAGAGGCCCGGTCAGCCCTAGGTTTACCCTAAACCTAGAGAGTGGCACGCTTCTCAAGACTATAAATACTTAATTAATCCTCATTAATTAAGCAATCAAAAAATCAAGAAAAGAAAACATCAGGCAACGAAGCAATTGAGAGGCAATTGATCAAGCAATTAATCTCACCTGAAGAACAGAAACATTACGGAACACTAATAACCGGCTAATCTCGCTAACAAAGCAGATTACCAACATTAAACACTCTCACCTAGAGAGGTCTTATTACTTTAATTTCCGTATTAATTACTCCTTAATCAGGTACTAACTTGACCGTTGGAGGCGGAGCTCTCAGGAGTCTCCGTTATTTTGCAGGTACAGGCGTCCGGTTCCAGTCTCGGAATTGTAACTCTCCCGCAGGACATCAGAAAACCCCGAAACATTTGGCGCCGTCTGTGGGGAGAGTACTTCAGAGATGGCATCCAAGTCTGTACCGACTCCTGAAGAGAGGCGTCCCCTAAACGACCCTCAAGTTCAGTCGGACCATGACACCGAAAGTGAATTTGAAGTGGAAACTCATACAGCTCCAGACGGGACCCTAAGGGCCCGACGTACCCGTCATACCGAAAGGAGGGAACGGGAGCATCTTCAAACAGGAAGCGAGCCAGCAGGCGCACCGCCTGCTCGGCAACAGCCGACTGATGGGTCTGCTCCCATCACAAGGAACGAACTCATGACCTTCATGAGGGACTTCAAGGGAGAGATTCAAGAGTTGATCAACAAAAAGCCGCCTGCTTCAGTCAAAGAGCAGTCGGCCAAAAAACCTTCCACTTCACTGAAGAGGAAGCCAGTTCAAGGGCGAGAGGCGACTCCTCATCCTAAATCCAAGAAGCGGGAGCCACCTGCTCTTGATTTCACAAAATTCCGTTATCCTACGGGAAATAGGAAACCGGTTCGTCATATTCAGGCGGACGGGTCAAAGCAAACGTTCACAGATGCTCGGCTACTGCTAGAGCAGAAGAAGAGTGACCGATTGTCAGAGTCGGCTTCTACTTCAAATTTTCAAGACAGTTTGCGAAATGCCTCGATGAGGCATACTCAGTCGTACCATGAGAGTCAGTCAGGCGGCACCTCCCGTCAGTCCGGCTTTCATAGTGCCCAGGCGGTACCAAACTTACCATTTGTGCCGCAACAACAGTATTTTATGCAGCCACCTCCATTTGGTGGACCTGCAGCAAAAAACGTCCAACCTATGGACTGGCAGCTACGGTTGCTTAGACTTGGTGAACAGCCGTCGGCCTTCTCCAAGGAAATTACTGAAGCCGCTCAGCCGGCCAAAGTAAAAAATGTACTAGTAGGCGCCTATGACGGCACTACTAACCCAGAAGACCATCTGATGGCATTCACCAACCTGATGTACCTTCAAGGGTTGGATGATCCCACTTGGTGCAAGTGTTTCCCAGCGACTCTCAAGGGAATCGCACAGCAATGGTTCGGCAACCTGCCGACTGGTTGTGTAAACAGCTTCAGGACGCTTGCTTACTTATTCGCCTCCAACTTCGCCATGAACATCCCTGCGAAGAAAACGACCCTTGATTTGGGAACAATTCAGCAGGGCGAGAAGGAGGGGCTTCGTTCTTACATTAGGCGGTTCAACCTGATGAGAATACAGATTCAAGGGTTACCGGATGAGGTAGCTTATACTGACTTTTTTAGAGGTCTCAAAGACGGGTCTACCTTCAAATTTGACTTAGTTCGAAAAAGGGTGGCGACTCTTCAAGAGGCCTTGATTGAAGCAGAAGCCTATATACAGGCGACTGATCTGTGTGCGATAAAACAGTCGGACGGGAAAAGGTTCGACAAAAGAGAAGGACGACAGAAACAGTCGTCTAACAAAGATGAGAAAAGAAAAGAGGTCTGGGCGGTTGATTCCACTAAACAGCCGGCCCAGAAAAAGAAAAAAGAATTCAAACCATACTCCCCAAAGTATGTGTTTAACAAGGATAACCAGTTTATCCTAAAAGAAATAAAGGGACGGTTCTCAATTGAGAAGCCGGTCCCCATGAAGGGTTCTGCAAACAACCGGAACCAAGACAAAATCTGTGCTTATCATGATGACGTTGGTCATCACACCAATGACTGCATCAGTCTCATGCGGTACCTAGACCGCTTGGCTGAGCAAGGTGATCTTGACACTTATGTCAAGAAATCTACGGGGAACACTTCCTCAAAAAAGCAGTCGGCCAAAAAGAATCAACAGGCCGACAGTTCCGATACAGATGATGCAGTCGTCTACACCATTGCAGGCGGCTTCTCAGGAGGCGGCCCCACTATTAGGGGCAACAAAGATAATATAAGGCGGTTAGATGTAAATTCCGTTCACCAAGAACGGCCGTCCAAATATACATTTCCTGAGATTGTCATCACTGAAGAGGATCTAGGAGGGGTAAGGGGGCCGCATGACGACCCTCTCGTTATTGAATGTAAAGTGGCCAACCAGAGAGTTGGCCGAATCCTCATAGATACCGGGAGCTCCTCAGATCTCATCAGCAGCAAATGTCTGTCAAAACTGAAATATCAGACGGACTGCATACATCCGGCCTCCCACCCTTTAATAGGGTTTGGAGGAGGAGTCGTCCACCCACTGGGACGAGTAGATTTACCCATTCGCCTGGGCGAAAAAGGGGAAGGACGACACATGGTAGTCCGGTTCCTAGTAGTAGAGGAACTGTCGGCCTACAACATGATTCTGGGTCGACCAACCCTGAATAATTCCAAGGCTGTTATAATCCCGTCTCTTATGCTGCTTAAGTTTGAGAGGGATAATGGAACAGTCGGCTCCCTAAGGGGAGATCAGAGGATGGCCCGAGAGTGCTATCTCTCGGATGTCAAGCCCACTGTTATGGCCACTGGGTCAAGTGGAGAAAAAACAAACCTTGACAATGTCAAGGAGAGTGCGCCTGTTCAAGAAACAGGCGACAAAAAGAGAAAGGCGTCCCAGACAGAGTCCGCAAGAAAAGCAAGAAAATAGCAATCATTGGCAGAGGAGTGGCCGGATGAGTTCCGCCCTCAGCCGGCTGGTGAGCATGCGGACCTGATCTTAGACGACTCACGTCCTGACCGAACAGTCAAAGTTGGGACGACTGCTCTGAGAAACCTTGGTGACGACTTTCACAACCTATTGAAAGAATACAAGGACATCTTTGCATTTGAAGTCCATGAAATGCCAGGCATTAGTCCTGATCTGGCAGTACATAAACTCGCCGTGGATCCGAAAAAGAAGCCGGTACGGCAAAAGAAGCGGAACCATGGCGAAGAAAGAAGTCAGGCGGCAGCCGCCGAAGTTAAAAAATTACTTGATGCAGGGTTCATTCGGCAATGTTACTTCCCAGACTGGGTTGCAAATGTGGTGCTTGTTAAAAAGACGAATGGCACCTGGCGAATGTGTGTAGACTACACAGACTTAAACAAGGCGTGCCCCAAAGACAGTTACCCTCTGCCTAAAATTGATAACCTGGTCGACTCAACAGCGGGTCATGCCTTGATGAGTTTTATGGACGCCTATTCTGGTTTCCATCAAATTCCCTTATGGAAGAAAGATCAGGAGAAGACGGCCTTCGTCACTGATCAGGGGTTATACTGTTACACGGTCATGCCGTTTGGTCTTAAGAATGCCCCAGCTACCTTCCAACGAATGATAAACACAGTGTTCTTTGATCAGATTGGGAGAAACGTCGAGGCATATATTGATGATATGATTGTCAAGACTAAACTTCAGAAAGATCATCTGACGGACCTCCGAGAAACTTTCGCCACACTCAGGCGGCACCATGTCATGCTCAATCCCAAGAAATGTGTATTTGGAGTTGAGTCTGGGAAATTTCTCGGATTCCTTATCAATCAGAGAGGAATAGAGGCGAACCCTGAGAAGGTGCAGGCGGTCATTGACATGCAGTCGCCTCGTACCATCCGAGAGGTTCAGAAGTTAACAGGTTGTCTGGCGGCCTTGGGGAGATTCCTAAGCCGATCAGGCGACAAATGCCTATACTTTTTCCAGG